GTTGGGTCCAAGTCCAGTTTAAAGATAAAAATGCATCAGAACAGAGCACAGCAGGAAGCAGACAGGTAGCAGGTGCCTGCCTACAAGCGAGATGGGAAGCAGGTAGCCCTGCTTCTGTAACAGTCATCATTTGCAAACTGCATCCATCCATCCATCCATCCACACAAACAAATTTATTGTACGATTTCTATCCCACCTTTTCTGCTTAAAGTGGCTGACATTATTCTCCCCCTGCTGTTCGCAATCTTATCCCCGCAACAACAACCCTGTGAGGTAGGTAGAACTGAGAGAGTGGCTGGCTCAAAGTTACCCAGTGGGCTCCATGGCTGAGTGGGGACTCGAACCCAGATTGTCCCGGTCTCATGCTCTTAACCGCTACACCACACTTATGTATTCTTTACGTAAACCTTTACGTATTCTTTATTTGGGGAGGTGTGAAAGTGCCCTGCCTTTTCTTTTGGACTATGCCTTTTCTTAAAATGAAGCTGGAACCTGTTCTGCTTAGAACAGCTGCCCCTTCCTAATGTTCCCTGTTATGGGTCAATTAGGCACACAGAAAAAGTGCTGGCAATTTGCATTGTGAAGTCTGATTCTGTGGGCATCGCAAGTTCAGGGACGTTTTGCTCTCCACCAAATGTGCATTTGGTTCTTGTGAATGTCCAGGTCCAGGAGGTGGTTGGATTTTGAACAGCCCCTGCAGCCTTGACACCACTTTCATGCGCAGATGTTTATCACCCACTCCGGAGAATTTCTGCCCAAGGCCTGCATCCACGACGCTGCTTGGTTGCCCACTTGCCCTGGGCGGCTGTGAGCACAGCCCTCCATGCCCGCAATGGGGAATGGCAGTGTTTGCCCCTTGCCAAGATCACTCCGCAGTTTTCCTCAGGTGCAAGCACGGCACTTGCTCACCTGCCAGGTGGGTCGTGGCGGGAAGGAGCAGCTAGCTTCCTCCAGCCTCAGCCCTTCCACAGTGGCTCACTTGAGAGCATCTTGCCAAGGACCACCAAGCCTGTCCCCCCAGGTTTCGCCTGCTATCCAAAGTTGTTACAGGAAGTTGCCAAACCAGCTTCTTGGTTCTTCTCGCTCAGGGTTGTCTTGTATACATCTGGCCAGCTTGGGCCCCCACAGGTTTTGCTCCAGGGTCTATCACGAGACTACACCTTGACACATGCAGAACGAACGGTGCTCCGGTTTTTGCCAGATGACGTCTTTGATCGGTCTAGGCCAGAGTCCTCTGCACTGCTGGGTCCCAGGGTTTCAGACAGATCTTTCTCACCCTTAGCCAGAGGGTTTGAAGCTGAGAAGCTCTGGCACAAAGCATGAGCAATCGCTCTTCCCAAAGCTGCTATCTTGGGTGTCCTTTGTCTGACAGATACTCTGGCTTCCCTTCTTCATACTGGGGCTGCATCCAAGTGTGTGCCTGCAAGAGGACTGGTATGTGCTTCTCTTTTCTCCAAAGAGCACAAGGCTGCAGGGATGGCTCGCTGGAGGACAGAAGCCTGGAGACTGCTTGCCGTTGGCTTGCTGAGCCTGCATTAGAAACACAGAAAGAGAGTGAGTCAGAAGGGGCTTCCCGGGCCATCTAGCCTGACCCCCGGCTCCAGCAGGCTCCGCTCACGGCCTGCCCACCATTGCTGCTGCTGTCACAAACCCATGCCAAACACTTCACAACCCCATGGACAACATTCCTCCAGGATCTCCTATCCTCCACCATCACCCGGAGTCCACCCAACCCCACACCCACCTCTCCAGTGACCCCATCCAGCCACCTCAGCTTCTGCCATCCCCTTTTCTTTTGCCTTCAGTCATTCCCAGCATCAGGTCCTTCCTTCTCATTAGATGGTCAAAGTGTTTCAGCTTCAGCTTTAGTACCTGACCTTCTAAAGAGCAGTCAAAGTTGATTTCCTTTGGGATCGACTGACTGGATCTCCTTGCAGTCCAAGGGACTCTCGGGAGTCTTCTCCAGCACCACAATTCAAAGGCACCAATTCTTCGGCTCTCAGCCTCACAGCCATATATTGCAACTGGGAAAGCCATAGCTTTGACTATACAGAGGGTGATGTCTCTGCTTTTTAGTCTGCATGGAGGCAGCAAAATACGGACACGCCACGTTCAAAGAGGCTCTGGCCCTCTCTTTCTGCTTCTGGCTGCACAAATGCCTGCTTTGTACACACACACACAAGAACTCCCACCCCCGCAAACATTTTCCTGTTTACATCTGTGTGATAGTTATTCTTTTTATCATATCTTTAATCAGGTGGCCATGGTACAGTTTTAGAAACACACAAGACAGGAAAGTCAGCGTGAGGCATAACAAATGTTCCAGAAACATTCTGCTTAGATGGCCCAAGGATCACCCCCAAATGCGCACACGTTAAGAGAGTCTCCATTCCATCTTGAGACTGTAATCATGCAAATCCCATGACTTCAGCACCATCAGCACTTTTTTTCATCCTTCCTCTCCAGCCACATAGCTTCTTGTCTGATGAAGAGACCTGCTGATCATGAAAGCTTGCTCTTTTTTTTTCTTTTTTTTTTGGGTGATCTTGAACAAATGAAAGACAAGTCTCTGCCCTGTGGGTGTACCATTTCTAAATTTCGACAGTGGAAAGGCATAAAGTTCACAGAGGACAGAAGGGCATGACTGTGAATGCATATATTTTGGCTTCATTTCACAAAATGGGGACCCCCAAATATCCCACCAAGATAAAAAGCAATGGGATAAACAAATACATCTTTTATTGATCCAGTGTGTTTTGGATGCTAACCTCTGGTTCCTCTGAATGCAATTATAATAATTGATGAGAATGGTTACAACAACGAGAGCCAGCATGATGTAGTAGTTAGGAATGCAGAAATCGGACTTGGGAGATCTGGGTTCGAGTCCCCGCTCAGCCATGGAACCAACTGGGTGACTTTGGGCCATTCAGATTCTCAGCCCGACCTACCTCACAGGGTTGTTGTGAGGATATGATTGAGAGGAGGAGGAGAATTGTGTAAACTGCCATGATTTTCTTTGGAAGAAAAAAAATATGTAAATATAATAAATATTTTTCCAATTAGATTATGATCACTTTTCAGTCTCCTATTTTAGTCCTTTTGGTTCATTTCCTTTACAACTGAAAAGTACTTGGGTTAAGAATTGCCAGAGGAAAGGCCTATTTTAAGAGGCTTGGGGGAAGAAAAGTAGCAGTGCTACTTTCCTTGCATTGTGGAAGGCAAGGAAAAATGGTAGAGTCATCAAGAGAACAGGAAATCTGCAGCCAGTGGAGAAAGATGACTTTGCATGCAAAGGATGTGGGTGGTTTGCAGGTAAACGGCCCCACATCAGGACAAGCCCTTCAGCAACTCCTTGCTTTGAAATTGGTACCAGGTGCAAGGAATGCAACATATACAGCTTTTGGCACCAGCATTTTAATTCACCACACCCCTCAGGGGCCACATATGTCACAAAGTCAGCAGCCTGGAAGCTGTGGAGGTGAATTAAAAAGGTGGGCGTTGTAGGTGCAGCAAAATCTTCTAGGGCTGGAGCTGGTTGTTTGGACCTTTGTCATACTTCTCCTTTTCTTGAGATTCTAGTGGCCCCGGGAAGTGGAAAATGTGAGAGCTGAATCCTTTGACAGCTAGCTGGCAAATCTCTGGTTTGTTTTTGACAGGGCTATGTTTTGTTTTGTTTGGTTTTGTTTTACACCAACACATCTTTTCATGCCAACCTATGTTCCTGTGAGAGAGAGAGAGAGAGAGAGAGAGAGAGAGAGAGAGAGAGAGAGAGAGAGAGGGAGCTTTTAAAATCCCTTTTTAGGCCTTTTTCCCACCTACACATACATAGGAGATTGCTTCCTGTGAAAACCGCAGTAACAAGAACTGAAAATTCTGACTCCCTTTATTGAAATAAAAAAGGAATTGAAATCCTGGCACTGTTAACACTTTTAAAAGCTATGTTAGTATTTATATGCTGCTTTTTCATCAAAGTCCTTGAAAACAAATTAGGACGCATGTTTAGAACACTCATCCAAACAAACAATAGCCGATCTCAGCCCGTTTCTGTTTTTGCATTGCCTGCTTTATACTGCAGCATTGCACTTTTTTGACGGTTGTTGCATGATTTGAAATATATAATGCATTTAAAACATTATTTTGTATCACCTTCGGGGGTACAAAGTTAGGCACAAAAAAAGTTTGTCTAACACTGCTCAGGGGACATTGCGTGTTCACACGGCACTGAGAGACACGCGTTCAGCGCACACTTTAAAATGAAAACAACACGAGCCGCGCAGGCGAGGCTGGAGGCGCGATCCCATCCCTTTCGCGTCGTGTTTGCGCACTGCTGTGCGGAGGGGAAAGAGGCGAGCAGGGTCTGCCCCCCAGCCGCGTCCCTTTCCCTCCTCCGGCCACTTCCTTCGGCGAAGTTTGCGAGCTGCGCAGCTGGACCTTCCCAAGATGGCGCCGCTCGCAGCTCTCCCGCATTCGCCGAGCGCTTCCCAACTCCCCCTGCACGCATGCCTCGCCTACGACCTTCCAAAGATGGCGGCGCCTCGACGTAGTGATACGTAGCGGGGGGAGGAGAGGGGAGCGAGGAAGTGAGAGCGCGCCTGCGCGGGACGAGTGCGCCTGCGCACCACGGGCACCGAGTGCAGTGAAATTCCGTGAGGGAGGAGGAGCAGGAGGAGCCGGGCCAGAAAGATAAATAAAAAAAGAGGTTCCCCCCACCCAAAAACGGCGGGCCGCCGCTGAGGGGAGCCCCGCGTGAGGGAGGCGCGGCGCGAGCGACGGGGCCGGGCTGCCCCGCTGGCCCCCCGCCCGCTACCGCCTCAGGAGCGCCGGCGGCGGCGGCAGCAGCGGCGGCGGCGGCGGGTCGCCCCCTCCCCTCCCCCTCCCGCGCCCCGCCCCCTCCCCCTCCCTCCCCTCCCCGCGGGGCGCGAGCAGCGCTGCTCTGGCGGCGGCGGCGCCGAGGGGACGGGCGCGCAGGCCCGCGGCGGCGGCGTGAGGGCGGCTAAGCCGGGCACTTCAGCGGGCGAGGCGGCGGAGGAGGCCGAGGCGGAGGAGCAGCGGGCGCTCGCCGCCGCCGCCACAGCCTCGCTCCCCGGGCACCGGCGGGGAGAATGACGGAGCTCCAGTCCGCCCTGCTACTGCGGAGACAGCTGGCAGGTGAGGAGCGGCCGCGGCCGGCGGCAGCCCCGGGGCTGGGGGAGGGGGAGGGGGACTGCAACGTGGCGGGGGTGGGAGCCATTGGGCAGGGGGCGCTGGGGACGTCCCCGAAGAAAAGTCGGAGTTGCGCCCGGTGCGGGGGGGCTGGCCGCCGGGGGGCTGGCGAGGCCGGAGCGGGTCGGGGGCGTGGGGGCAGGAGGCGGCGGGGAAGGGCTTCGCTCTGCGCGGGGCTTGCGAGGGGGGAGCCGAGGGCCGCCCGAGGCGGGCAGGAACCCGAGCCGGGGCAGGGCAGGGGGCTTCGCCTTTTGCAGAAGCGGGCGCGGCGAGGGCAGGGCGGAGTGGAGCGGAATCCGGGGGGGGGCGCAGGGGCAGCTGGCAGAGGCGGGGAGCCCAGGGAAGCGGTGGCGGAGGTGCGGGGTGCGGTCCCTGGGAAGGCCGGGACTTCGGGTCCCCACTGGGACGGCGGTGGGGGGGGGGAAGCGGGCCCTGTGGGGCGCAGCGTGGGCTGGCATGGGGGTCTCCGGGTGCAGGTGTGGCAGCCCGCCTGGTCGGACGAGTCACATGTGCGCAACTTTGGAGATCGGCAAGCGAAGGGGTGTGAAGGGAGCACGTGCCCCGGTAAGGCCTTTAGGCCCCACGGGGGAAATTTCAAGTAAATCGTCGTGGGCTTCCTTGCGGCTCCCCTCGTGGGACCGAGCTAGGCACCAGCAGGGCAGAGGAGGAGCACTGAAGGGCCGGGAGCCAGCTATGTAGGGCAGCTGGAGTTGAAACGGGGGGAGTGGCTTGGAAGGCACTGGGCAAAGCAGGACTTATGGCAGGAGGTGTTGAGGCCCGAGTGAGTTGGATAAGGGCACACGCATTACTTGAGAGAAGGTGAGTAGGCAGCTGCCTGCTGGGGGCGGGGGGTCAGGGAAAGAGGAGAGAAGAGTAGCTGGGGAAAAGCTGAGACGGGCGTGGGCTGGAAGGACTTGGTAGGGAGGGCCTGAGTTAGGCCTGGCCTGGGAATGAGGATTAAGGAAGGAAGGTTGTGCAAGTTAAAGGCTGAGTAGGCCGGAGGAGGGAGGGTCGTCGAGCATCCCTTAAGGGAGTGATGGAGCAGCTGGGATTGGGACTAAGGAGTGGGAGTTATGGTTGAAGAAGAGGCAGGGATAAATCTGAGGGGACCCTAAGCAAATGAGTGGAGTAAAGGAGGAACTGAACTGGGTTGAACTGTAGCCTTGTATGAGGAATTGAAAATGGGGCAAATAGTTTGTAGGCTTTTCCATGCCCACTGTGCATTCAGTGGTAGGAAGCAGAGATCCCACAGCCTGGTAGGTACCTTGTGTGGCAGGAGGAGGGTGACTGTGCATGTAACTACCTGTGTTTAGAGAAGGGCTTGTTCTAGTGACTAAGTTTACTCTCCTACTCTTCCCCTGTGCTCAGTTTATAGAGTGAGTCAAACAAAGCAGAGTAGGGCTGATCTCTGAAGAGTGCTATATTGGGGTGGTGTCTCAGGGGGATAAATTAGTATTGCCTCAGGTGCGTAATAGGGAATTACTGCCATCTACAGCTTCTTTTTTCTTGTTGGGATTGGTGCCAGAACTATTCCTTTCTAACCCTTCCCCACTGTTCTTGGGTTGGTGATACCTTCCTAAAGCTGCAGCCACTGCTTCTCTCTGTAGGAGGGGCAAGCGTTCTCGTGGGGGACTGGGGATGGAAGCAGTAGGCTCTGAAGAGAGATTTCTGGGGTGGAAGGTTCCGGCTGCTTTCTCGGCTCTTCCCCTCCCCCTTCCTTTGTCCCCATCCTGACCAGCCTTGCTTGGCTTGTACTCTAGCTGCAGGGGTACATGGCTGAGCCTGGTTTGTCCCAGCGCTTGCACAGGAATGTGTAAGTTGCTGAGTGGTTAGACTTGCAGTGCAGCCCCACGTGCTGCTCGCCGCCAGACAGAACGAGAACTGAGATAGCTAGCTAGCGTTTGATCACTGCACTGGGTGTAGAGGAGAGCCTGCGTCACCTCTCCACCCACCTGTGTTCAGGCTTCCCTCTAGAGTTTTCCGCCCTGCAGTTTCTCTAACTCCTCCCGTGAGGATGAAGCAAGCCGTTTTTTTTTCAGATTTACTAACAGTGTGAAAGTAATAGTCAGAGCAGAAGGAACTTTTGTTCCACTCTTTCTAAAAAATGATTAATCTTACAGTAACCGGGGGGGCGGGGGGTTTGATAGAGTTTTGTTCTGGTGCAGCAAGGCTCTGGATTCAGGATATTGTGGGTGCGGGAGGGGGGAGAGCAATTGTTTCAGCATCCTGGCAAATGCCTGTGAAAGAACAACAGGGATAGGTCAACATACTCTGTGCATTGCACCAACAGGGGGTGCCCTCTAAAGCTGACCTAAAAGACATAGCAAATAGGTGCTTAGGTTCTCTTTCCTTTGCTCTGCTTTGCCTATAGGTACCACAGCACACACAAATCGCAGCAAAACAGCAGATTAATGCCAGCACCTTTTATTTTAAATGCAGTACAAAGTTCTGTACCAGATGCTGAATGCTTTGTGTAGCAATGTGAAAGAGGGGGGTTATTTTCATTTGTAGCATGTGCAGTATCCTGTCACTGTGTCTGGGGAGAAGACTCAGATTTCAGATGGTGTAAAACAGCCTTTCTCAGATGTCTTGATCTAAAACTCATCGCCCCCAGCTAAACCAGTTAAAGGTTCCTGAGCATAATGGAAGCTGTGGGCTAGTACTTCTGAAGGGTACCAGGCTGGAGAAGACTGGAGTAGGTAGTGGAAGAAAATGCTGTAAATAAGCCATAAGAAGCAAGAGTGTGCTAGTCCATCAAAGAGAGGCTGGGGCCATGATCAGTGTCACAAGAACGCTTTCCCAGCATTACTTTTATCTTGATTAAGATTCGGTTTGTTAGCTCACATCCTAGATCAGCCTTATCTAATCTGGTGATCCTCAGATAACACTGGAATACAACTTTCATCCAATCAGCAGTACTGTGTGTGGATGATGGTAGTTGTGGTCAAACATGTCTGGTGGGCACCAGGTTGCAGAAGGTGTGGTTATGAACAAGGCACTACTGTAAAGTAAAACTTTGAACTTTGACTGTAGCACTCCTTGTTTCTCCTTCAACATTCACAAGTGCCTCAAATGGAGGTTTGCTTGTTTTAAACCCTCTCAGGAACTCATTCTGTTATCATAATAATAAGGACATAAAATTTGGAAATTTTTCTAAATGCTGCAAAAAAGGGGGTGATCTAGAACAAGTGCAGTTAGCTGTGGGTTGTGAGGATGGGTGCCTTCTTTCTAGGTTAGTGTAAGCTGAAGTAAGAAGCTTCTATGAATATACACCAATCCATAAAAGTGATTCTCCTTTATATACCACTTTGTGATTCTCACAGAACCCACGCCCACTCTCCAACCATCTGTCTAAATCTTGGCTGGATGTGGCCCGCACAGGGAGATACTATGGTGGAGCCTTTACTGTCAAGCTATGCCCATGT